TTCCGTTCATTTGGCTCAGTCTTATGGTAGATGGAGGCTGAATTCGGATGTACCCCCCCCCCCTCTTCATCAACCTTTCACTGTTTTTAAGCATTAAACCCACACCATACCGTGCATACGCCTGCTTATATTGTCAACGTCTCTGTGTTATCTGCATGTCCTGATATGTGCATGTTTGGTCTTATCGGTTTTTTGTTGCTGCTTATTATTTTTGTCTACGTAACGTTTTTTCATTTTTTAAAATTTCTTCGCATCGTCGTCGCCATATTGCACGTTTTCATGTATCTTTCTTCTTCTGCCCCCCCCCCCCCCCCACCCCCTCAAAAAAAAAAAAGAAAAATATTGGTCAAAAGAAAAAGGTAAACCCATGTTTTTCCAATTTTATTAATCAAAAAAAAAGGGGAGGATGCTTTATTTTTTTCTATAATTAAGCAAACACACGATATTATGACCACAAGACGCCCCCCCGAGCGAGAAGAAAAGAACAATTGTCGCGAGAGGCGCCCACTTTATACATGGAAGTGTATTTGTGGTCGCGATAATAGAGAAGCGTAATGTTGTTTTCCGGAGCTAGTTGTGCTCTGCTTTTTTATTTTTTGTTGTTAAAATATTTTTTGTTGTTGGTTTTTTTTTTCAACCTTTCTTTTTGATGTCGTTTTTATTTATTTTTTTTTTTTAGATCCCAATAATAGTGATCCTATTATGTAAATGTTTATGTCTATGCAATCTGTTTTGAGATAGAGTCTGGTAATCTCCCATGTGTTTATTTTTTTTGAAGAATTATATTTTGGTGTCGGGACTTCCCCCCAATTTTTGTTCAATTTTTACCAGTAGATGTTCAATCTCAGCTAATGAATTCCTAGTCATTTGTACATATTAAAGTGAACGTAGTTTTTCACTTGATCTTTTCCTTCTCCGTCTGACTGTTTACTTGCCAAGTGTCTTACAGCGCATAGTTCGAGCCTGTTTTCGAAACAAATATGCCCACCATTACTGTTCAAATCAAAAGCTCATGTCCACCTGTAACATCTGTTTTTTTTGTTTGTTTTTGGTCAAAGTTTTTGTTGATGATTATCAAAATGAGGTACATGTACGTGCATTACTAGAAGAAACCCGTACCTACTAAATGTATCTCGGGTTGATATGTCAGTGGGAAGTGACAGAACTGAGTTCTACGGTCTCCCTACCACTGGCCACTGTATGGCGCCCTTATTGTTTGCTCTGGACGATTAAAAAAAAAAAATTTTTTTTTGGGGGGGGGGCTTTCATAGAATGATAGTAAATAGTTAAGGTACTTTTTAAGGGGGTAGGGCAGAACGTAGCTTTTTGAATCACCCCATCCCTGTGTAAAAGCCGAAAATGCCATGACTCGTTCCTGGTTTAAATTTTCTGTTATATGTGGGTGTCAGATGTTACAAGATTTAAAAAAAATATCCTCCGTCTGAAATGTTCACAAACTTGTTTCTGAGATTAGTACTTCTGTAAATGCAAAAAAGAAAAAAAAAGAAAAGAAGCATGAACAAGGAAAACTTCCTGTGAGTTAAAAATTACTGAATAGCAAATCATGCCTTTCCCGGGATTTAGTTTAGCTATCTCCACCCCCCCCCCCCCCCCCCCCCCCGCCCGTTCCCCCTTTTCTATAGATAAAGACGTGCGTTGATGTGTTTGTTGTCTGATGTTTCTGTCAATGCTGAGAGCAGTAGCATGGTGCATATGAAGTCTTGCCTTTGGGATAGTAAATCGTAATGATTATATATCTCTATTGCATGAGCTGTAGCGCTTTCCGCCTATGCTTTGATCGTGTCGTAGTCTTCGCTTGCTTTAGACAGATTTGACCCATTACTAGACAGTAAGACTAGAGGCACGTATCTGTATCGCTCTTTACAACTTTTAACATTTAACCTTTATCTTTCTACCCTGGATTCATGAATAAAATGTATGTTTTTAACCCACGTACGAGTTTTTATTTAATTATATCCCCTCGTTTTCTGTTCTGTGTATATACACATTGATAAACTGAGTTTGTTGTGTGGCTTCCTTATTACTTTAACCAACCTTAACAATTACATGTACTAACTTTCTGCTACATTCTTTCGTGTGTGCCTTTTAGAGAATCCCGTAGACAAAACCCCCTAGATCTTAATGTTTTGTCATTGTATGCCAGTTTTTTTTTGTTTCTTGTTGCTTTTGTTGTTAAATGCATGTTTCTAGGTTATCATCCAATACCTTTTTTGTTTGTTTGCTCATACAACATAATGATTACAGATGGTCATCGTCCCACACGGCCCACGTTTTCAGGTGCTTGTACGGGTGGTTAGTGGCTGCTGAGTGTCGTCTACTTCTTTTTCCTCTTCCATTCCATTATCCTGTTGGCCTTTCCGAATAATAGCTGTTATTGTGGTGACTGCCAAAAACGATATCTCCACCCTGCGTTACATACTGTCTTTTGTTTTGTGTGGCGATTGGGCGGGGTGGTGTGAGGAGTGATGACGAACTAAAACCAATACTCTCCCCCCCCCCCCCTTTCTTTTCCCCCCATCCAGCGCCTGTGGTGTATTGTATGGTTACGTTCTACCCCTCTCAGCTTAGGATTTCCTTGATACAACAGGATTGAAGCAAGCCATCCATTAAATAATCTAAATCGTGTGGTGGATGGGCGTAGTGGAGAATTTACTGTCAATCATTTGGTTATATCTCCAGGAAGTATAATCCACTCCTGGAAGTTTTCAGAGACTAGGTGCCTCTTTTTTTCTGGCTAGAACGGCACAGTTGGGCTCGGTAATGCTGGTAGACACTGGTAATGCTGGTAGACACTGGTAATGCTGGTAGACACTGGTAATGCAAGCACTTGTGCAGGGTCCTCTCAGCCAATGCTCAAGTGAATAATGCATGGAGTTCTGTTATTCATAAGTGAAAGATTTGGAAATGTGTATATATGTTACGTTATATTGTGGATGGAAGAAATGCGCTCTGGTGTGGTTTGCTCCTTCCTTCCTGTGAAATCTCTAATCGTCTTTCTTCTTTTCTTTGCATGTTACTCTCTTTACTTGTAACACCTCTGATCATCGGCAAATATATGACTTATCTGTGTTGCAAGTGCCGAAAACCTCTGACTAAAACTTTAAAAAAGGTGTATCGTATGACAAAGATGAGAGAGATAGTGCATGATGCTTGCTAGCTAGAAATGAAAGATCTAAAGACGTGTGTATAGATGTGTGGTAAGGTGAAAATCATGTGTATTGTCAAAGTGAGTTCTGCCGTGCTCGGAGTGTCCCTGCCTCAGGTAGGTTGTACGTAGTCAGTGGAGCCTGCTTCAGTGTGACCTGACCGGAGCCGTCTTTGGTCTGATCTGACATGTCGCCAACGTGTGGTAAGTATGTCGTCATTGTGTTACCCATCACCTTTCCTGCTACAAGCATCCCTCTCTCTGTCCCTAAAAGACACTGCAGACGGCTTCTTCCGCGTCTCTTGTCGATTGCATGTGAACTTCTGGTAGGAGTTTATACTGTACATCTGTATGTACGTGGAAAACAACAAATGAAAATCTCGATTTAACAAAAAAATACCCCCCCCCCACAAGAAATCACCCAAAGACACCTTTTGGTTTGGGAGAAAATCAGATCTCAAACTTCAAATCTTACTATACTTCGATTGTTTTCTTTTCTTTCATACCTTCTCTTGAAAAGGATTCTTATCCCAGGACTGAACCCATTGCTTGGTTTGAACAGTTTTTGAGAATAAAGTTCAGAGAACTTTACTTTGTGAAGATGCATGCTTACTGCTTGAGATACTCGATAGAAGTACAACATGTACTGTGCTTTTGTCAGGAGGAAATTTCATAGATAATTTTGTACCAGCATATTTAAATATTGATATTCAGTGATATTAAATAAAATGGAGATCGTTGTCAGATAGGGACTTGGGCTTGGTGACCCAGGAAGGGGACAGGGGAACTCATCTACTTTATTGTCCGCTCTGCATTGAGACTCGCTGACCAGGAAGCCAGATGTTTTTTGCCGGTTTCTGGGAGGGCTGGGGACAGGGGGAAACTTTTCAGTTCACTGATGCCCCCCCCCCCCAACTCTTTCACCCCTTTAATGTTGGGTTTCTTTATTTTTCTCCCATTTCTGAGAAGAACGAACTGGAAGACCGGTGTTTGTGATGTAACAGGTTGGCACTTCGCCATCACATGCAGGAAACCTGAATTCAAATTTCTGTCTTTCTCTTAGACATTGTATCCCTTTCAGTCCAGGTTAACCCTGACATCCAGGATCGAAGCCTGCTTCCTAAATTATCTAAAGTGTGTCTGTGGGGGCGTAAAACACTTACATAAAAAAATGGAACTTTTAGATTTAGAATTGCTTTTCAACTAACAGTAATTTAGGTTCTATGGTAGTTTTAACATTTTTTGTCTTGATCAGCTTGAATGGATCAAGTCTATATCTTAAGTGCATGACAGTGAGTGCATGGCAACAATCAGTTTTCAATGAATAAAGTAATGTGGTCTCTCTGGCCACAAGGAGACATGTAACACAACAAGCAAAACGCATGTGACACTCTCCTCCCTTGTACAGTATGTCATACAATCCCACTCAGTTACACTTTTCTGGCAGATACAGTTGTCTTTTTACCTTTCAGTCTTTCTCCTTTTTTTTCTTTGTTTCCGTCGCCCTTTTTTCTTCTCTCTGTCGTTGACATTTTTCCTTTTGCTACTTTTTTCTTTACCTTTCATTCTGTTTCTTTCATTGGCACCTTATTTCTATCCTTTTTTTTCTTTTCTCAGTCTTTCTCCATGGTTTGCTGTAGACACAGTCTGTCTTGGGCAATCTGTTTCTTTCATTCACCCTTTCTTTCTATCCTTTTTTCTGTTTTCCGACCTGTCATTGTGCATGGTTTGCTGTAGACGCAGTCTGTCTTGAACATACTATGTCCCTTGCCCGCTTAACAGCTTGTGCTTGCCGCCCGCCCTCACCACCACCCTCTAACCTCTCCCGTTACAGAGAACGCAGCCGCTAACACCAAAGTGTTTGGTGACGATGAGATATCCAATATTGTGGACTCTGTGATTCAGGATAACGACGAGGACAATAATGGCTACATCGAGTATTTTGAGTTCAAGAGGAAACAAGAACAGTCTAGACAGGCACAGCCGCAACAGGGCCAACAACAGCAACAGCAACAACAGCAACAGCAACAACAACAGCAACAGCAACAGCATCACCCGTAGTGTGTTGGCGTGTTTAGCTATAGCCTTTATGGTTTTGATTGTCATTGGTTGTTTGTATGTTTGAAATGTTTTTGCTTCGATTAGACAGTTGATCTTTACCGCCATGAAATCCTGTTCTTGTTATGTCATTCTCTTACTCTGACATCTCTTATACAAGTATACACGTTTTTGTAAACAAAAGAGTAAGTACGAAATGTATTCTACTTTTGGTGGTAATTTTTATTTTTATAGTTGGTTTCGCACTTACTTTTGACATCACCCTTTTACTATTTTATTTCAAAATGCAATTGAATCAATATGAATAAGTAGGAGACGCTTTTTGTTTCACGTATACAGTTTTAGAACGATCAAAGTAAGAACAGGTTAGAATAGGATGAAACGGGTTGGAAAGATTACAGATTTAACAGTTGTTTTGTTTAATTGTTGTGAATGATATGTCTGAGGGAAATTGTATTGGTGGGGATGTAGAACGTGCAAATATATCGAGGATGTATTTCTTTGGTATTTTTGTTGTTGATCTCTTATTGTCTCTCTTTTAAAGAGTTTTTTTTAATGATTTAAGTTAGGGTTTGGCGTGTGTGTTAATTTTGATTTCTTCCGATTGTATTTGTGAGTCATGATGCCAATAAGGGCCAGTAGTTCTGTATGCGTTATTGCATGCTACCTCAAATAGTAGAGACTTAAAAACTGCATGTTTTATAGCAAAATACATTACTTGTTGTGTATTCTCCAGCAGATTGAGTTGTATTTTTTATCTGTCTGTTTTGTTATGTGCTGTCCATGCAGGTTGATTTTTTTTTCAGCACAATGTCTCATAAAGTTAAGAGTATCGGTGACATGTAGATGCATGACACAGAGGAAGGAAAGGGTTGGATTTTTTTGTTTACTCCCCAGGTTTTGTATTAACACTCCTAATAATTCTTTGTAAGTAACATTCCGAAGACAAATGTTTTTATTTAATGAGAACCTAGAGATACATTCCACATCTATGGTTGTCCCTTGTGATTGCTTAGTAATTGTTGAAATAGATTTTTGCACTCCTGTATTTTTTTTTCCAGAAGTGCCCATTTTGACAGCTTTTTTGGAGGTCCTGCCTTTAAATGACCAAACCCTGTTGAAAGGGATGGGATCTCACACCATGTCTACAAATGTATCCACACAGTACTGTTTTTCTCTTAAAAGTATTTGCCAAAAAATTTTCCCTTTGTCGAATTAATTCAACATGAAATTTATTTAATTTTTTTAATATTTAGACTCAAACCACCATTCCTAATTTTGTTGTGCACAGATGTTATGTTAAGAGCTTATTACCTGTTTGAACAGTGTTCTGGATGGTTGAGGGAAGCTTCTTTAAAAAAAAAGTCGAGGGCAAGTACTTTGTTATTTTATTGGGGAATTAAGTCCCGATGTGTGTGACAACTTGATGTGATTTGTTTGATAATGATAATTGCTAAAACATTATCAGAAATGTAACTTACAGTATCAAAATATAGACATCAGTAATGAAACTTACAGTATCAAAATATAGACCATGTTGATAGAACTTCTTACAATTTTTTTACCTCACAATTGGATTACTCGTGTACTGTTGTTTTTTTTACATACTTTTTATTACACATTATTATTAGTTCACAATTAATCAAAATGTTTCCTTTAAAAACGCTTGGTAGTGTCACGAAATCAGTTCTATATCCTTGGCTTCTATTTCCTTACTAGGAGACTCTAAGTTTTCCATTTTCTTGTGCCTCTTTCCTGTACAGGACGTTTGTGGCTAAACTGTTCGCTGTTATGTTCAAGAAATAGGAATTTGATTTTTGTTTTAGAAGATTTATTTTGTCTAATTTCTCTGTTTTTCTTCTTTAGTGGAATGATGTATTTCTCTCAGCGCAGGTTGGCTCTGACAGACAAGGTGGAAGCAGCCTGCTGCATCTAGAATATATTCATGGGGCTTTAGAACAGTTCCAATAATTTTGTGTAGGTTTCTTATACATCAGTATAAGGAACAGGTTCTGAGATGGATTATTTCCTTTCAGGATATAAAAAATATTTCTAACAAATTGTGACTGGTTTTTGTGCAGGTGAACCAAAAGTTTGTGTACGCAAAAAGGAGTCAGCCTCTTCATTTACATGTTTTCTGTCGTCTATTGCTTTCATGACCTTCAGCTTTTTAACAAGTTTTCTTTACCTTTAATGCACTAAAAGCTAATGTGTTGTTTCAATGTTATCTTTAAGAGCCAGTACAGACTATGTTAAGTTTACACATGGTCTTCCCTCAGCAGCCAGAGACAATTACTTTGAACTGTAAGCACCTACATAGTTTCCATGTCCGTCGTAGCTTGCATTTATTTGCTGTTCAATGCAATGTCATAGCTTTGTAGGCAGTGTGTCTAATGTGTGAGCTACATTTTACGAGCAGATATATTCATTATATAGAACAGATGATGGCTTGACTGACCTTGTTGGAGTGTACTCACCGTAAAGAACTACTGTTCATTCCTTGTGCTTGTTACATTTAAAGTTGGTATTTGATGTGCTCTGGACCGTTATTTTCTTGTTGTTTTCAATGGCTGTTTTTTTTTGTTGTATATCAAAATTCGCTCTGATATGGGGGGAGGGGGGGGGGGGGTTCAGGGCTTTCCTTCTACTCACTGAGATGGGTATTATTTTTCAAAGTCGTGCCACTTAAATACCTTGCAGTGTTAAAAGAAGTGTTTAGTCCATACAGTTTTTTTTATTTTTTAAACTTTAACAAGCTGTTACTTCTGTGATTATTACTGGAGCTGTCTGTCAATAGTGCTGTTGTTTTACAGGACAAGTAGAAAATAAAACATGATAATCAAAACATGTGGACCCTGACATTCTATTGTAAGTCAGATTTTGGAGGGTAAAGTGAATTTTTGCAGCAAGGAAATTACCTGAATGCATCTAAAAATGTTTACGGTATTAGAACTCGTGTGCATTCCTCTTTGTTGAAATCAGGCCATATGAGTCTTTCTATAGGTCTCTTAAACATGAGGTCTGAAGTGGGACAAAGATTGTCTTGATAAAGGCATTTTTCTTCTCTTATTTATATTACCACTCAGTTATTTCTGTATAATGTTTTGATTTTTCTGAGGTTTAAATGACCCATGACCGCTATTGTATTTCACTTCTTTCAGCTTTGAAAGAAAGTTAAGTTTGGTCTACTGTGTAAGGCATAAGTGTTGTGTGATAAGGACATACTACGCATTTTGTTTTGTGGTTACTTTACACCCGAAACTCACAACTATCAAAACTAGTCCCTTATGGTTTTTTCTGATTTGTTTTAAAGTTTATAAAGATTTGTGTTGTTGTTTTTATTTGTGTCCATGACAGTAACATGTGGTGGTGGATGAATATTTATTTACAGATTCATATATTACAAAATTGTGATTCAATGTGATGCCTGTCGTTGGTGAAAATGATTAATCTCATTTTATGTTCTAGAAAAGTTTTCAAGTCATGCCTCGTTTGTTTGCTTCGAAAGAATGTCTACTTTTGTTTTATATGTCACAGTTTATTTTTCCATTGTTTTTTTTGTGAGTCACATTTTCTCTTGTCTTTTCTTTTCCTTGTGTTTTTAATTTTTATGGGAATGTCTTTGTTGTGTACTTGTATTACGTACCTGTGTGTTTATGTTTGTTGTGTGTAGTTTTGGTGGGCGCTGAGTCGATTTACCGCCTCTACTTCTCACCTGTGCTGTTTGCCATTATGTATCTGTTGTCCCTCCACTCTACAACACTATTTTACCATGGTTGTGGCTACTTACTTCTCTTTACCCCAGACTCTTTATTTGCCACCTGACGCTTGCTTATTTAAGTTTTAAAATGTAATTCCCCCCAAAATTGAAACGTCTTTTATTTCCCTTTTCGTGTTGAGAAACTGTTTGCTAACATTGCACTGTCAGTTTTGGTCGAATGTCTCGTGCATTTGTATTTTGAAAGTTGACCTTGTCACAGAATGATGGTGTGTGTGTGTGGCTGCCATGATGCCTCCACAGTATGACCACGTGATCGTCTGGCCTTGTTCTTGTCTTGTCCTTGTTGCTTGAACATCTGACAAGCGTGTGTTCTGGAATTTCGAGAAGTATTGGCAAGGTGGACAAAATATGATCTGACAGCTGTGCTGTTTATGACGTGACTTGTCTCAAGTGTATAAGCGAAAAAAAATATAGCGTCAAAAACTTGCACCTAATAAAAAGCAAGTGGTACTTTTATATTTAACAAACAAAAATCTCCTTTGTTTTTCTTTTTAATGTAACGAAACACCTTACAAGCATGTGTGAGCGTGTACTACTGTGTAAGAATGAAGTCAGTAACGTTAATATGTACATGTAGTCGTCTTTCTGTCTGTCTGCCTGCCTGTCTATTGTTCTGTCTTTTGACTTTTGTCGTGCCCTTTTTGTCTACCTGTACCTTCCTTCTTGTGGGTGGTTAGCGGGCGCTGTGGTATGGTTTGCACATTCTTTCTTTCCAAACAGCTTTCTACAATATCTTTCCTCCTTTTTTCTTTTTATGTTACTCTCTAGAAACACCTCTAATTTTCGGCGGTTGCCTGACCTATTTGTGTTGCAAGTGCAGTAAAACTTTTTCTAAAACTTAAAATAAAACTGTCCTCTTTTCAATATTCATTTCTCTGCCCCGAAGAAAGTCTGAAGAGACGGACGTTAAGTCGCTGCTCTGATAGATGTCTTTTTCTTTCTATTCCTCTTCCTTGTTAGCATTCTCATGATTTGTTCCTGGCAAGGCCGTATCTTGCTGCTCAAAGGCCAAGGCATGTAGCTGACCCTGGCATAACCTGGCACGACATGATGCATGTTTACATACGGGAGGACTCTGCATGTACACCATGTATGTTGAGATAACGTCAGGCATAAGGCATACTTTGTAGATCCTCCAGTGGGAGAAATCAATAGTGTGCTGTTCACCTGCTTCTGCGACATAATATGCGTACGTAACGTCATATAACACCTCCACATACTCACATACTCTTCCCCTCCCTCCCTCCCTCCCTCTCTGTCTCTGTCTCTCTGTCTCTGTCTCTGTCTCTGTCTCTCTCTCTCTCTCTCTCTCTCTCTCTCTCTCTCTCTCTCTCTCTCTCTGTCTCTGTCTCTCTTCCTCCCTGTCTCCCCCCCCCAAAAAAAAAAACAAAAAAAAAACCAACAACCCCAAACCAACAACAAACAACAACACCCTCTCTCTTATCGTGTGGCTAACTAATCTTTAGCTCTGTTCTTTGGAATCTGATACAGTGAAGATTTCACAAACTTGTTTATACAGCGGCGCCTTCTCTGTACCTTTCGTTGCACGTGTGTAAAATAATTACACTTCAATTAGGAGATTTTGCAATTACATGCGTAAATGTCGTCTGGGGGAAATATGCAAAATGACATTTAAAATTAAAAAACAACCCCCACCCCTTGCAATGCCTATATAAAACAACAACAAATAAACAAAAAAAAGCTAAACCTAATAAAGTACAGTTGAATACGGATGAGTTGATTTCGTGGAAGTGCAAAAAAAAAAAATCAACTCATACGAAGTTCAACTTAACCGTTGGGACCTGTAAAGAAGAAGAGGTGCTGGAACCCGAGAAAGATCAACTTAACGGTAACCGAAGATCAACTCAAGCGAGATCAACTCAAGCGGAGTCTACTGTAGAATAAAAATAATTTGAAACTGAACCGAAAAAGGCCACCTTTAAAAAGACCGTTGCGCAAACATTGCTTAACATTCTTTATGAACTTTCGTTTATATCGATTCGAACAACCTAAAACCGTGGGTAGTTGGAGGGCCCACTGGTAGGTACTACTTCTTTACTAGCCCTCTGTTGTTTCTGTCTCCCTTACCTTTTCCCAGCACTTATTGACCATTATGTGTCGATGTGCTTCTCTTTACTCAAACAAACAGACACACGAACGGTTTCAAAATCCGTTATCAGAGGTGACAATTTTCCGGAAAATCCGGAAATCCTGATTCGCTGAAACTGTTCGTGTTTTGCCTTTTACTGTTACCGATAAAAATAATCTTGATTCAACAAGTAAAAGAAAACATGAGTGAGTGGTTGGCGGGTGCTCTGGTGTGGTTTGCTTCTTCTTTCCTATAAAAAATCGATCGTCCTTATCTCCCCTCCTTTTTTATGTTTGTTAGTCTCTTGTAACACCTCTAATCTTCTGGCGCTCATATGACCTTATGCTGTTGCGAGCGCCGTAAAACCTGTACTAAATCAAAGAAACATGATCCGTAGATTTTGAATATCTGCACGGGTGTTTCTATGAGGGACCGAAAAATTCAGGACTTTTTGTTCGTAGGCAGTTAGCACTTGCATAATTAATCACTTGAATACGACGAACTCAGAGCGTAATATTATTGTTTAAAAAAAAGTAAACTACAGCCCAAGTAAAAAGAAAGAAGGAGACATACAAAGGTTAAGAGATAATCCCTCCCCAAGAACCGTTACGCACAAGCCTTCTGTCAGCCTGATGGAGGTAAGACTGGTTTGCCCGAAGAGAGAATTGTGTTGTTCATTATTAGTTTGTTTCCACAAGGTGACATCTTTTTGTAGCTGTGTTTTTTTAAATCTCAACTTTGCAACCTGTCATGTACGACGTAAAGGTAAGTCTATGCTTCATGTAAATATTATGTGATTGTATTAAGTTTAATCTGCAAGCTGATGAGTAGAGTTGTCGGCAGGTGTCGATTTCCTAGAAACAATTTTCAAGATGGATATGATGTACTACTACTGATTGGGTTGTTGGGCTAGCAGCCAAAAGGTCGTTGGTTTGAACCCTGTCAGGAACCTGGCGGTGTTTCCTTGGGAAAGGCAAGTACATGTACCACGAATTTTGCTCCCCTCGCCCACGATGGAATTGGTTCCCAACTTATAGCTGCGAAAGATCTTGTCAGTTTGTTACTGAACTGCACGCTTCCCGGCAAGCTGAGAATGTTTCTGAGTGTTCTAGGGCCTGCTGGGTTGATAATATTTGTAAAGCGCTTATATAATATTATGCTATACAACATGGGTATGCGCTATATAAATGCCATTATTATTACTGGTATTCTATCATAATTCATAATAAAATTCTAATGATTTTCACGGAATGTCCGATGATATGGGAGAGCGCGCAGTTGACACATTTACCAAACTGTGATGTGACTGCGGCCCCGGTTTGGATTCCTAACTGAATATTTAAAAAAAACTGTGGCTGTGTTCGTAGTGTTCATGGCTGTCAGCTCAGTCCTGTTGGAAATGGATGTCGAATTGTAGGTTCCACCTTTTGTGTAACGTTATTGTATTGAAAGCGACGTTACCATCTCTTGTCTGTTTGGCTCGCGAACTCAGTGGCAATTGAAAACTGAACTTTTCAATCATGGCCTAAGACCTACAGGATAGTGAGAAGAATGTCTGTGATTGTAACATACAGTCTTGCACACCCTTACCGATAT